CTGGAACTTGTCTAGGCTAAGACTCTAAAGGTCAAAGACTCGGACCTCTGGCTCTTAAAATCTTTCTGCCTCATCTTCCACGATGGTCCAAACCTTGGGGGAGGAGGTGTGATGTAGACGTCCACTTGTGGCCGAGAACACCACACTTGTCCTGTGCACTTTAAGCAGTTGTGAATTTCTGCCTTAACCGTAGTCAACTGCATGAAGAAAATTCCCGAGGAGGTCCGAGCACTCGGGCGCCTCCCTTTTACAGGTGGAGAAACTGTGGCCCAAGTCACCTGGCATGGGGTAGTCAGTGTCTCACCTTTCTTCGCTTTTTCCTTCTTCTCCATCTGTGGTGGGGGATGGAACCCAGACCTGTCCATAGCAGACAAGTGCTCCCCACCGCCAAGCTGCAGCTCGGCCATCCCAGGAGCAGAGGGAAGCTGAGGCAGCTCCAGGACCCTGCCCCCACCAGCCCTTCTTCTACTCCTCTTCCTGCCCAGGAGGAGGAGGAGGGGGAAGGGGAGGAGAAGGAGGAGGGGGAGGGGAGAAGGAAAAGAAGGAGGAGGAGGAGGGGGAGGAGAAGGAGGAGGGGGAGGAGAAGGAGGGGAGGAGGAGGAGGGGAGAAGGAGAAGAAGGAGAAGGAGGAGGGGGAGGAGAAGGAGAAGGAGGAGGAGAAGGGGGAGGGGGAGGAGGAGGAGGGGAGGAAGAGAAGAAGGAGGAGGAGGGGAGGAGGAGGGGAGGAGCAGGGGGAGGAGGAGGAAGAGGAGGGGAAGGAAGCAGTCCCACCAAATGAGACTAGAATCTTGGCCCTGTGGAGTCAGTGGAAAGATCTGGACCTTTAAGGCAGTCCAGCCCACATCTCAGAAGGCCCAGCTAACAACATCTGGCGAGACCATTTTAAAAAGGAGCCAGCCTTAAAAAGCACATGATCACACTTTTATGTTTTCCCCCTGGTTATAAAAGCTACACTCACTGTTTCCAGAATGTTTGGAAAATGTGGCAAGCTCAGAAGAAAATTAAAAAGCCGCTTCGTGAGGCCCCTACCCCTCACTGGCCTCAGGGCAACTTTTCTTAATGCCCTCTTGGGCTCTGTCTGGACCTACTCACATTCTGTGGACTATACAGTATGGAAAATTTTCTTTAAAACATTTGCAATAGAAGCTTAGTTTTAGAAGGGGAGCAGTTGGCTAGGAGAGAGCCTCTTTGTGGGGGTGACAGAACTCTTGTATATTGAGCTGGGTAATGGTTGCAAGGATCAGGACATAGGTAAAATAATATTCATCTGTGTACTTGGCGTTTGCTGATTTTTCTTGATAGAATGCCCATTTCGGATGCCAATGGCTCACTGTAAAGATGCTCAGATAGATGTGTACAGCCCAGACCAGTGGTACCTCCCTGGAACCTCTGCACTTAAGAGGCAGAGGTAGGAATTGGAGGCCAGCCTGGGCTACATAATGAGTTTGAGGTTAGCCTTAGCTTCTGGTGAGAAACTATCTCAAAAGACCAAAGGCTGGAGGCACAGCTCAGTGGTGAAGGTCAGGGGCTGCAGTTGTAACTCTCGCCACACACACACACACACACACACACACACACACACACACACACACACAAACCTTGGGTTCCAGCCCAGCTCTTCAAAAAGAAAATCAGGGCTCCATCTCATATGTCCATCCCTGGCTGGTGTACTGGGCTCTTTCTCTGGCCTTGTTGCAAAGGGAGCTGGGCCTGCCTCCTTCCTTTTAAGCCTCATCTGTGCCTGGCCCCTGTGAGGAGCAACGGACTGCTGCTGGCTGGGCCGCCTTGCTGGGAAGGAGTGGAAACGCGTCTATCAAGTTTCACGGCCGTCATTTAGAGTCTGGCAGCAGACCTTGGACTCCTGTGGTCCAGGGCTGGGCTGCTCAGTTCATTTGTAATGGCAAGGGGCCAGCATTCCTCCTTGCAGCCTCTGGGGCCTTTCCACCATGTTCTTCCTGAATTCTTGGACAGTTCTAGGTCCCAGGAGTCAAACCTTTGATAGCGAGTGAGCCACCAAGAGTGCAGCCAGCCCACTGTCGAAAGTTTCCACTGTCCAGCCACTTCTGAAGGTGGCTAAAATGCGTGGCAAGTAGAGGTACCCTGTGTAAGCCAAGGTTGGCTCAGTGGGCAAGCCTTGACTTCCTTCTTGTGGTTTCTTTAGGCACCACTAGAATCCAGGACAGACCACCCTGAAAGGAATAGATCCCAGACTAAACAGGCAGCCAGAGGTGGAGGAAGTGAGCTGTCTTCACTGCCTTGGGTCTGGGTTGGATTCCCACACTGTCTTTCTCTTTCTCCCTAAATCCCTGGGCAAGGTTGGCTCCGACTCTTTACCAGCAAGATGGAATGCCCAGGCTTAGCAGTAGCATCATGTGACACTGAGCAAGAGACTGTGGGTGCAGGGTCTCTCTCTGTCTCCCTCCCCCCCTTTTGAGACAGGAACATAATTATGTGCCTGTGGTGGTTTGAATAGGTATGGCCCCCAGAGACTCATGTGTTTGAATGTTTGGTCCATAGGGAGTGGCACTATTAGGAGGTGTGGCCTTGTTGGAGTAGGTATGGCCTGGTTGGAGGAAGTGTCACTATAGAGGCGGGCTTTGAGGTCTCATATATGCTTAAGCCACACCCAGTGTGGCAGTCTCTCCCTACTGCTTGTGGATCAAGATGTAGAACTCTCAGCTACTACTCCAGCATCATGTCTGCCTACCTTGCCACTATGTCCCGCCATAATGATGATAGACTAACACCTCTGAACAGTAAGCCAGCCCCAATTAAATGTTTTCCTTTATAAGAGTTGCCATGGTATGGTGTCTCTTCACAGCAATAGAAACCCTAACTAGGGACTGGAGAGATGGCTCAGAGGTTAAGAGCACTAACTGCTCTTCCAAAGGTCCTGAATTCAATTCCCAGCACCCACATGGTGGCTCACAACCATCTGCAATGAGATCTGGTGCCCTCTTCTGGCCTGCAGGCATACATACAGACAGAACACTGTATACATAATAGATAAATAAATCTTAAAAAAGAAAGAAAGAAAGAAAGAAAGAAAGAAAGAAAGAAAGAAAGAAAGAAAGAAAGAAAGAAAGAAAGAAAGAAAGAAAGAAAGAAACCCTAACTAAGACAGTGCCTTTTTGCTGAATGGGTGTATGTGAAAACAAGCAAACAAACACAAGTTTTCATAGTACAGATGCTGAATATCATGAGTAATTACGCTTCCAAAAATGAAGCAAACAGCACAGCTAATGATGAGGCCCAGAGAGAGCAAGACCCTAGTCAAGGCCACAAAAGGAGGCAGAAGCCAGGTGTGCTGGTGCCCAGCACGAAGAGGGTGGTGTGGAGCACGTGGCATGGAGGGATGCAGGCCCAGCAGGCTGTATCAGATGGCATTTGTGACCTCCTTCTCTCACTGTCCCCAGGCTGGTGAGTGTCTTAGCCACTTTTCTATTGCTGTTAAAGACACCCTGATGAAGGCAACTTATAGAAGAAAGGGTTTATTTGAGACTTACATTTCCAGAGATTAGAGTCGATGACCATCATGGCGGGGAGCAAGGCATCAGGCAGGAAAGCTCGGTGCTGGGCCAGCAGCTGAGAGTTTGCATCTTATTTACAGACACAAGACGGAGTCCTAACTGGGAATGGCTTTAGCTGTGGAAACCTCAAATCCCATCCCCACTGACACACCTCCTCCAACCAGACCACACCTCCTAATCCTTCCCAAACAGTTCCACCAACCGGGGACCAAGTGTTCCAATATATGAGCCCGTGGGACCCTTCTCGTTCAGACTATGGCAGGGGGAACAGGAGTTGGCTGGTGGGTGAGGCTGGAGGCACTAGCAAGGCCAGCAGGAAACCCCCTCCTGCTCTACCACACCACGGATCCCTCCACCAGCTCTAGGGAGCGACCGTCCCATTCCCACAGCTCAGCAGCATGTCACCTGACCCACTCTCCTTCAGAGTGCATCTGCAGGCATGCATTCTTTCACTCATTCACTTATTCTGCCAACATGGGGGGGGGGAGTCGCCTGTTCTCACACCCCTGGCTTTGGAATCTGGTGGAGTATGCACCATGCCTTCTCCCCTGTCCCAGAGTCCCCACTTTATTGCCTTCCATTCCTCTTTGCCTGTATTTGTAGACCATGGAGATTTGGATGCGGGCACCTGGGGGGGGGGCTGTCCTTCCTGCCCCACTTGCCCTTTGGGAGACAGAAGTCAGTGTGGGAACTTCTCTGATAAGGTGCCAGAGGAGGGGCCATCTGACCTCACTGGATGGAGGAGGCAGGTGTGAAGTCATAGAGTACCTTCCAGAACAGGCAAGGGCTGGCCTGAGACGTGAGGTTGAAGAAAGGAGTTCCCAGGTGAGGTGGGAGGGAAAGAGGCGGGCAGGCGTTCGGGAGGAAGGGGCAGCACGGGCAAAGGTGGGAGGTGAGGTTCTCCTTGTCATGAGAGAGACACAGACCGCGGCAGCGGGGCTGAGGGAGGCTGGCATCAAGCCCAGCAGTTAGACCTAGGCTGCTGGTGCCTCCTGAGGCAATGGGAGCTCTTGAGGGATGTTGGGCAGGGGCCTGACACCTCAGAGCAAGGCTGCTCTGGGGTCCTGGTGGAAGATGGCTGGAGTTCCGAAGACTAAAGGCTGCTGAGGCAGAGAAGCCCTTACATGAAATTGGTGGTAGAGCTAGGCAGGGGAGGAGTCATAGGTGGGTGATCTGGAGAGGTCATTGAATGTGACATGGCTGAGGGGTGATGGGGGCGGGGCATCAGGAAGGCAGCTGCGGAAGGCATGCCGCCATGGAACCTGGCTGGTCTGTGGGGCTATCACTGGGCAGAGGCAGGGAGGTACAGGCTTGAGAAGCTCCTGAGTTAGGCTGAAGTGAAGTGAGAGGCTGGCCCTGGCCATTGGAGTCGGCAAGGTCTCACGCACAGGGGTCCTGAAGGTCACAGGAGTGGGCGCTGTTCCTGCTGTCACTGCTACTGTGACTCTTCTCCCTCCCTGTCGTCCTCAGCAGGACTCTTCAGCCCTTGACATGGCCATCCAGCACGCCCTGGCAGGGCTCTACCCGCCTTTTGAAGCCACTGCCCCTACTGTCCTGGGGCAAGTGTTCCGGCTGCTGGACTCTGACTTCCGGGGAGACGGGCTGAGCTTCCTCCTGGATTTCCTCATCCCTGCCAAGCGCCTGTGTGAGCAAGTGCGAGAAGCAGCCTGTGTAAGTTGGGGACACTGTGTGGCTGCCATAACAAGCTCTCCCAGAAGGCAAGAGGGCTAGAATTGAGGAGGGAGGTGGGCACGGTGTGTCTCCCCAACAAGAAATATGGTGGCGGAGGGGAGGAGGGTTCCCAAGAACCACTGCTCATCCAAAGGGAAAGGCCACCTGCCAGTAGAGAAAGGGGGTTACTTGACTCATGACCCTCAGACACTAGGGGCCAACGACATTTACAGTCCATCATCCGGGAGGAAATCCAGATGTCCAAGAACACCCCCCCCCCCGACCCTGGGGGACCTGCCTGGGTGCTAGGAACCATCAGTGGTACCATCTGGCCCTGGCCCTGGTGGGGCCGCTTCCACAGAGGCAACAGAGAATGTTCCAGAGCTCTCCTGAAGGCACTCCCACTTTTATCCCTGGAAACCTCCTGAGATTTCAGGGAGGTGACTCCTGGGTCAAGGTGGAGAGACAGTGTTTTAGGCTGTAGCGGAAAACGACTTCCCACTCAAGCCGAGAGTTTACCCCAGTCAACCCACTGGAAAACACACTGTGCTTCCTGCCTTGGCCTCTCCCAGTTAGCCCGCAGCCACAGCAGCTCTCAGGAAGGATCTCGATTGGCCAGAGTGCGGTCATGTGCCCATGGCTGGACCAATCACTGTTGACCAGAGGAATTGGGTATTAAGATGGACACTCCCCACTCCACGCGACCCCTGCACGCTCTCGAAGGAGACTGTTTTGGGAAAACAGTGGGGAGATCACCAAGGAATCACAGTTCTGATTCCTCGGCCCTCCTCCCTCAGGGATTCGCCAGTGTCCCTGAGCTATTGTTAGTTACCCTGAGCCCACGGCCACCCAGCATCAAGAGCCACGCAGGCAATCTTAGGACCCCCGGCACCTGGTGGAAAAACCCCCATGGCAAATGCTCCTGAACGGGAATAGAATGCAGTGTCTCCCAGAAGTCTTTGCTGTTGGCCCTGCCCGTGACCCCCTGACCTTGTTTCCTGAAGATCCTCCTCCCGACCTCTTTTTTCCTCTCCCTGACAAGCCACACAACTGTCACTTTGGCTCTTCAAAACACATTTGCAGGGCTGGAAATGTAGCCCAGTTGGTAGAGTACTTGCCTGACATACACAAAGCTCTGGGTTTGGATCCATTCACATAAATGGCACGGTGATGCCAGCCCTCAGCAGGTAGAAGCAGGATGATCAGATGTTCAAGGTCATCCTCAGCTTCATGGTGAGATCTAAGCCAGCCTGGGCTACATGAGACCCTATCTTAAAAGAAAAGGAAAAAAAAAAAAGGTCAAAACCACTTGCCCTGTTCCCTCCTTTATTTTCCACAGCCTTTATTTTTAAATACACGCACATTTGATTCGGCTGTCATGGATTAATTCATGTCACCTCAGAACAGACAGGAGCAAAGAGGGATTCACAGCAGGTCCTTTGAGGTCAGGTTCTCTGTTTCAGATCAAGACTCGATCACTGGGAACATGGGGGATCCATGTTCCCTCTTTGGGACTCGGCGTCACCACCCCAACTCCTGTGAGGAAGAGAGAGACGCTACAGTGTCAGAATGTAAAATGATGGTGGCCTTTTCAAGTTCGTCTGCCAAGACAGTGGCAGGGTCAAGTCTCCTGACCACTCATTCAAAATTGTTTCTGTTATTTTAACTGTTCGGCTCGAGGCTAGGGAGATGACTCAGTTGTTAAAGGCTCTTGTCACACAAGCCTGGTGACTCCAGTTCAATGCCTGGAACCCATGTAAAGGAAAGGAGAGAACCCAGGCCACTAAGGTATTCTCTGACCTCCATATGGACGCTCCCGATATGCACACACATCCACACAAACTCTTTCAAAGGGCAGGTGTTTTTGAAAGGGAGTGAATTCACATTCTATGGACACTCCCCAAGCATCACGTTGACTTCTCTGCATCCATACTCTATCTGTCTCATGCCAGCCCGGAATACTGCTGCCCTTTACTTAACTCCAATTTGCAGATAAAGAAATCAGATCTCGCTGGGCAGTGGTGGCGCACGCCTTTAATCCCAGCACTCGGGAGGCAGAACCAGGTGGATCTCTGTGAGTTTGAGACCAGCCTGGTCTACAAGAGTGAGATCTAGGACAGGCACCAAAACACCAAAACTACACAGAGAAACCCTGTCTCGGAAACAGAAAAGAAAAAGAAGGAAGGAAGGAAGGAAGGAAGGAAGGAAGGAAGGAAGGAAGGAAGGAAGAAGAAAGAAAGAAGATTAGATCTCAAAGCAGCTCAGAACATGCACAAACAACCCACTTAGACCTCCGATCCATGACTTTCTGGCTTTAAAGGGCAGGGATGCTAAGACTCCAGCTGGGCTGTGAGAAGTTATGGGTAGATGGGGAGGAGAGGGGTCATGAGCCAAGCAGGGTTGCTGTGGAAGGTGCTTGCCAATTAACTAATGTACCTGGACCCCCGGCCTTCCCGTCAGCCCAGGAGGCTAGCAAGCATCTTCAAGGCCAACGCCAAGGGTAGGTAGGAGCAAGTGACCCCCTGTTCCCTGACAGCAAAGGCCTCTTCAGTGCCTGGTTCTGGGCATCTCTCTTGTCTTTGCCTCTTCCCTGGCTGTTCAAGGTCCCATGTGGGAGAGGGAAGGAAGTTGACCAAACCCCAGGTGCCGTGAAGCCTGTCTCTCTGATGCCCCCCTCTCTCTACAGGCCCTCTACACCCACTGCCTCTTCCTGCATGAGGGCTGGCCGCTGTGTCTGCGGGACGAGGTCGTGGTCCACCTGGCTCCACTCAACCCGCTCCTGCTGCGTCAGGGCGACTTCTACCTTCAAGTGGAGTCCTGGGAGGAGCAGTCTGTCCACATGACACTCAAGTGTCTTTCCCCGGACCTCCGCAAGGTGGACAGGAAGCCTATTCCTGAGACCTCCTATTCTCTGATTTTCACCCCAGAATGGCTGGAAGCCATCAACAGTGACTTTGAGGGGAGCCCCTTACACACCTGTCTTGTGGCGTCAGAAAATGGGATCACGCCTGTGCCTTGGACCAGGATAACCAGCCCAGAGTTTATAGATGACAGACCCCGAGTAGTGAACATCCCTTCCTCAGATGGGGACACTTGTCCTCTAGAGGCGCTCCATCTGAGCAGCCCCCAGGAGCCAAGCCAGGCCAGCTCCTTGGGCAGCGTGGGGTCTGTGGTCCAGAGTTGGGCTAAGGATAAAGGGAAGTTGTCTAGAGACAAATATCCTGGGCTCATCAAGGTTGAGCCAGCAAGGCCAGGGCAGGTGGCCTTCAGGATGGACAGTGAGACCAACCAGGGCCCGGAGGGGGACTATGTGGCTCTCCTGGGCTTTCTCCAGTCTCCAGACAGGGAGGTAGTTACACTCGGTGCGGACACTCAAGGATGTGTGAAGCCAACAGACTCTGGAGAGAAGCCCTGTAATGGGGACTCAAGAAGAAAGGCCAGGCGCAAAGCCTCTGGCCACATTGCAGAGAGACAGCCCCAGCAGCCCCACGCTGGTGTCCTGGAGAAGCCGCCGGACAGTACCTCTGGCCTGGTGGAAGACACTGAAGAAGAGCCAGGAGCCTCTGAGATGCAAACGCCTTTGGGAATGCCGGCAGCCACGGTCCAGCTCAGGCCTGGGCCAAGACAAACACCCTCTCCTCTATTGTCCTCAGCTGCCCCTGTAGTCCTAGCCTCCGAGACAAAGACAGAGGAGACCACACCAGGATACGGCAGACCTTCCAAGGCCGAGGCCTTTCTCAGTAGGAACATCTCCATCCGTGGGTCCCCGGCTCCTGGGCTCCAGTTCTCCTTCTTGAAAGGACAGAGGGTGCCCCTGACGCCCCCTGAGAAGACTCTGCTCCAGCATGTTGGGAAGGCCCCGAGCCCCCACAACTCTCTGCAGCCTTGCGGAGCCAAGGCCCCAGGGAAAGGTAAGAACACACACTCATCAGGGCAAGAACCAGGCTTCCCTGGTGCAGGAGGCTGTGAGAGACAGGGGTCACAAGGCTGTCCCAGGCTCAGGAGTGTAAAACTGAGCAAGGCTATTCATTAGGTCTGTTTGGGTTCACATTCCAGTTTTACCTCATGCTGTGTGACCTTGGCCAGACACTTAACCTCTCTGAGTTCAAACCTCCTTCTCTACTTGGGGGCGGGGAGGCTCGTTTACAACACAGAGTTGCCCTGGTGGTTCAAAGATATACCAGAAGGAAGGGACTTGGCATCACTGGCAGAGAGTAGATCATGCTACAAGCCGTATTATCGTTTGGGTGGAAGGCAAAACACTGTCCCTCAGAAAGTCTGTCTCCTGTATGACAGCCCTGCTTTGTTCTTCCCCAGATGGGACAGCTCTCCCCAGAACATCTGGCTCAGCCCTACCGTCTGGGGAGCCGCCTGGCTTCCGGAAAGATTCTGCGGGTCCCCCAGGAGGAAGACTTAGCCTGGAGGAGTGTTCCAGGCCTGAGCCCAGGATTGGGACTCTGGGAATCAAGCTTCTCCACTCCAGGATAGCCTGCCTGCCAGGTTCTGGGATTCAGGGGAAGTGGAGGGAGCAGAGCATTCTCAGATGCTGGGGGGTGAAGAGGGGTAAGGTCTGGGAGGCTGCAAAGTTTCCAACAAAAGGCTTGGGTTAGAGGCAAGCCGTTTCTAAGTATCCATCAATCCATCTGTCCATCCATCCATTTATCCAGACTTCCATGAGGAAGGTGAGGTGTGTTCCCGGCTCCCTAGAAGCTGAACTCGAGACAAAGAGTTTTGGAATGGCCCCCATGAGAATGGGACTGAGCAAAACAAGGCAGGCAGAGGAAGGGACGAGCAAGGTGACGCCAGACCCGGGGAGGCTCCAAGATGTGGGTTATACCAGCTGGCTGGCTAAGGTGCGGGGTCAGTATTTAACTTCTGGGTCTGTTAGACATTAACTGCAGGCCGACGCTGGGTATATCAATCATTAACCGCAGGCTGATCCTGGAATGGGATGCAGGGTGAGCTAATAAGCTAATCTAGCTAAGGGCAATTCTTCAGGGAAGGAAGCATCTATGAGCCTCTATTAATAGTTCTCCCGGCCTCTGGTGAACAAGCAAGTACTCCGCCCACTAAGGGGCTTTGGACCCGGTATTGACAGCTTCCAAGCTTCGGGTGTTTTATTCCCGATTTGTAGCTGTTTGATCACTGTTTCCCGAGACCTAGACTCAGCACTGTGGATTTGTTAGGAAACGAGTCTATGTGGCCCCAGCACCCACACACATTTTATTCTAGTGTTAGAGAAACTACAACTGGCCATTGCAATCCAACATAAAGAAAATGTCTAGGAACTGGGAAAATAAATAGTGCTCCTGGCCCAGGCTTCTAGCAGGAGAGGCCAGGAAAGCTTAGGAGTTAGCCATGTACATGTTGGGAAGAGCGCTTCAGAAACTGGGAACAGCACATGTAAAGGTCAGGAGCATGAAGGACCCCTGTGCCTTTGGGGACTAACTGTCCTGCCACCTTGCTACTCCTGGATTTCCACGTCTCCCTGGCCCCATCTCCCCACGGATCCCAGAGGAGTCATCTGCTGGTGTCCCGGTCATCTGCTGAAGCTGTATTGAATTCTTCAGAGGCTATAGGAGCCTCCCGCACGCCTCCTGCCCTGGCCATTCCTATTTCCACGTGACGTCGGTCACCCAGCATGCCCATAGCAGAAGGGTTTTCTGGGGTTAGAGATGGTATTTCTGGTACCACCCACCAGGCAAGGGCAGTGTTTGGGGCACAGGGATCTCTTTGGTCCAGTGAAAAACAAATCAGGTTGGACAAAGCTTCGTGTGGGGTGCTGCCTGTACTTGTTCCTGATCCAGGCAGCATTTGGTGGGCAGGCAGAGCCAGGCTCTGGCCACATGGTTGCCGTGTCCCAGGGGACCCAGCAACTGACTCTTTGGCTACTCGAACTTGGGCCCAGGTACTGACTCCATCTGTACTGCTTGGGAGCCAGGGAGAGGAGGCAAGCTGGGTCACTGGGTTCCAACTCTGCAAGCTCCCAGACTTACAGGGTTTGGACTGCTTTGCTCTAACCTCCACGTGCCGGCCAGCTCCTCAGGCATCCATGCTCTGATGCTGTCCTGAGCCAGTCCCAGGAGGCAATGCAGTTGTCAGGACAGCTTCCTGCAGGACCCCGGGCTGGGGAATATGGAAGTGGTACATTGGCCAGACCAGGGGCCAGAGAGGATCTCAAGAGCTGGAGACAGGAGGTGGGGGCACACCAGACAGGCAGAGCTGGGTGAAGGAAGGTCCTGCCAGCTAGGCTGACTTCCTGGGCCGTGAGTCCCCAGGGACAGTGAGACACACAGCCCCCATCCCCCTAGAAGAGGAAATGGCCTGTCAGCAATGCACCACTGGAGGAGAAATCACAGGATCAGCCTGCTGTGGTCTGTGTGAGATGTGACAGGGATGGTACCCAGTCACCACAGATGCATTCACTGGTCCTGGCCGAGTGCTGAGCACTCTCAGGAACTAACTCAGTTAATCCCCAAAGAAACCTCATCTGCCCAGAACTGAATTTGCCTTATCAGATAGATGAAATTATTAAAGCTCCGAGACTCACAGGCTTACCCAGGGACACACAGCAAGTCAGGATGTGAACTAGTAGTGGGGTGCGTGCCCTATCCAGAGACAGTCCCAAGGACAGTGAACTGACTCTGTGCTGAAGAAGAACTCAGGGAGACTTTTCTCAGGAAGTGGCATTGAAGCTGGGCCTTTGGAGGATGGAGAGGAGTTTGGAGGTCACAGAAGGAAGAGAAGAAAGGACATTCCAGGCAGAAAGATCACTGTAGGCAAAGGCTTGGAGAGCCACAGAGGAGGCTCCCATGGAGGGTCCCCCAGAACTGCCATTACTCATGTGTCTTCTCTCCTTCAGGTGGTAGAGACCGGGCGGGGCGGCCTCTGCTCCTGGTGTCGACCACGCAGGAGGCCTGGGAGGCACCCTGGTGTACTGTCTTGGAGGTCACGAAGTTGCTGTCCTACTTATGTGGTGTTCCTAGGTGAGGGGACACTGTCATACTTCGCCCCTTAGCCAGGTGTGCAGTGGGGAGGCTGCAGGTCCTTCCTTCCACATGTGTTCACATGGCCAGCCACGGGCTAGGAGCTGGGTGGCCGGTGGGCTCTGTCCCTTCAGCGGGGCCTCCCAGGCTGGTGGGGGAGGGAAGGTGTGCAGTGTGAACTCACAGCTATGACCTGGTGGTGCCCTGGAGTCGGAGAACAACTGGATGAGCTGTTGAAGCAGCTCACACGCTCGTCCCCAGCGCTTCACACTCCGCCAGCCTGAGAATCTGCATTTCTAGTCAGGTTCCTGGTGACACTGGTATGTCGGGGGCTGGAACAGAGGCTAATCTTTGAGAAGCATTGTTGTGGTGCAGAGAAGGTGAGAGGGTTGATTTCAGCCGGGAAGCCGGGGAAGGCTTCTCTGGGGAGGTGGCATCTTAGATATAAATGTCGTTGAGTAAATAAAAGACAGGGCAAACAAATGAGTGAATGGATGAATGAGAGAATTAGAGAACCAGGGTTTGGGACCATAGCTCAGTCAGCAAAGTGTTTGCCTTGTAAGCAAGGTTACCCGAGCTCTGACTCCAGAACCCACGTACAAAAGGGCATGTGTGGTGGGGCACGTTTGAAGATAAAGAAGGCCAGCCTAGCCTTGCCTAACTGACATATTCCAGCCAATGAGAGGCCCTGCTTCAACAAAAAAGGTAGAGAGCCCCTGAGAATAAGCCCAAGTGGGGCACAGTCCAGGCAGATTCCAGCCCCCAGTCTCTCCCACTCCTAGCCCCCCAGCCCATGGTTCAGACTTCATGGTTGGGGAGAAGCCCATCTGGCTTCTGAGACACAGGCTCCCATGAAAACCTGCAGAGGTGGCATTTCCCTGCCCTGTAGCTATGGAACCCCAGCCAAGTGGAGGTGCGGCATCTGGGGGGAGGTTAGGGAACCATGAAGTTCTTTGGAATCTTCTTTGCCACCCCTCCCCAGAGCCCCCTGTCTCCTGCAGGCCACCAGACACCAGATTTTCTGCAGGTGGAAAACGGCCGCCTGTGTCTCTGAGAAATGGCCCGGTGGTAGACAGAACCCTGGAGTATCTCCCCACCCACTTTGATCTGTGACCTTGTGGCAGTGATTTGCCCACCCTGCCCCCTCAAATGACCAGGGAGCCCAGGTAGGGTCACAAGCACCTGGAATGAGGGGAATATACGATGTCAACCTCTCTCACAGTCTACTGCTCTGTGTCAATTTCCCCGCCCAGGGTAGTCATAGAAAGCGTTTATACCCCTCTTGCTCTGGGCAGGCAGTGGGCATGTGACACAGATGAGCCCATCTGTTCTCACACAGCCTTGTCCAGTGACAGGGACACAAAACAGTGTGGGGCCATGCGGACTGTGCTCGTGAACTGGTGATGTAAGGTTTGAAGACCGCTGGGCGAGTCTTCCAGACCCCCTTGACCAGCAGACTGGCTGAGGGCACTTACTGCCCACCAGCCCCCGCCCCGGGCCCCACCCACCAGCCCCCCACCTGCATCCGCTGCTCAAGGTCTGAGGGCCCTGGGTTGGGGCCTGGGGTTGGGGGTGAGGATGGGGGAAGACTCCCGTTTGGCCTAGGTCAGTAATTAGGCCAGCCTGGGACCTGGGAAGCAGCCACCATCCATCCCACCCACTCAGGTGATAAGAGCAGGGGGCCAGCCGGATGCGAGTGACTTCAGTTCAAGTTGAGAACAGCCTCTGGTTGTCTGCCTTGAGGCCGGAATTAATTCTTCGTTTCCCTGCAACACTGTATGAGTTATAGTAATTATACAAAGTAGGGGATTTCCTGATGGCTCTGTGTCCCTCGATGAGTTAACCTCTCTCAGTCTCCTTTGGCCTGCTCGTCCCCCTCTTCCCAATACCTCCCTCTGTCCTTCGAAGAACTCCTTAAAGGAGAAAACAGATTTTTCCGAAGCCATTCAGTTAGCGTTTCTCATCTCACTGGGAAAAGATAGGTCACATGACCCCACCTAGCCCAGTCATTGGCCAGGGAAGTTGGGTGACTAGTATGGTCTCTACAGATCAGAAAACCACAGGTGGGGGCTGGTAAATCCCGAACAAACTGGGGGTCCTGCCTACACAAAGAAATAGGCAGGGGGCTGTTTCATCTCATTTGTTTTTGCTTGGAATTCTGGGAACGGAACCCAGTGAGGCTCACACACAACCTCTGAGCCACAAAGGGTGGTGAACACAGTCACACAGTGACCACAGTGATGAGTCACCTGGGGCCTGAGCTGTGAATGGAAGGCTGTGGGTTCTACAGGAGGAATCATGGGTGCTTCCTGGAGGAGGCATTGGTCTTGCGGAGTGGAGACTCCTGCCAACCCGCTTCCCTCACCTTCCCACCGGGTTTTCCTGAGCCCCAGGCTGCCTGGCAGAACCTGATTTCTGTCCTCTACCCACAGGCTAGAGGATAAAGCCAAGGGGCTGCTGGTGGTGATTGATGCCAGGAAAGGGCCCCCGAGTCCTGCTCTGGTCAGCGCCCTGCAGAGCACACAGGTGAGTGCCAGGTAGGAAGCCTTAGTCTAGCTGGTCTTGGGAGTCTCCAGGGGACTGTGGCCTGCCCAGAGCCTGGTGGACTTAAGGTTGGCATCGTAAAACCTGGGCAGAGACTTCTGGTGGCAACTAAGGAAACCCTGCAATCAGACTTCTAGACAAAGGGTGTTGGCTGGCTCAGTATAACAAATCGATTTAAAAGCAGCAGCAGCGGTGAGCGCTGAAAGAGAAGCTGATGAATGGCTCCCTTCAGAATACGCATTGTATTAGGCTGGAGGGGCGCAGGGCATGATGGGGCCTTGAGGTGAGAGGTTGAACTTTAGAGAGAACCGGTGCATGATGGGAGAGACAGATACGGCAGGGACCTTAAAGAGAAGAGGGGCTTCCCTTTAAAACCCAGAGAAGAGCTTCATTAAGAGTGAGGATGAGTCAGGTGGCGCCTTTAATCCCAGCACTCGGGAGGCAGAGGCAGGCGGTTCTCTGTGAGTTTGAGGCCAGCCTGGTCTACAGAGAGAGATCCAGGACAGCCAGGACTATACAGAGAAACTCTGTCTCGAAAAACAAAAACAAAAAAACAAAAACAAAAAAGAGAGAGAGAGAGAGAGAGAGAGAGAGAGAATGAGGATTAGAGAGAGTGTGTGTGAGAGAGAGAACCAACCACCATGAGAAGGATGGGATGGGTACAGGAGTCTCCTTAGAAAAGCCCCCAGAGCGAATCCCTCTAGCAACCCCAGAAACAAGAGAAACATCAGACCTTTATAAGTCTGTGGGGGTAGCAGGAAGCTTTACATCACACGATTTATCTCAATAGACTACATGTGACAGAGAGCAAGGAAGAGCGGGACCCCACAAAGGAAAATCAAGTCACTGACTCTTTCTTCACTCCCTGTCACAGAGAGGGCTGCAGGAAGGGATGGCCTGGTCTCTTTAGTCTGTAGGATCTGGCCTGTTAAGCGTGACCACTGTCTTAAAGGGGCAGGCCCACGTTTTAACATCCAGGAGTTGAATCCAGCTGTGTATGCATACCCATCCAAGGGCTCAGAGAGAACCATCATCTCTATTCCTGTTCAGGCCCTCCCACAAGGGTGCCATTTTTTCATGGCCTCACTTCCACTGGGTGGCAGTATGGTTCCCAGCAGCTTGAAAGTCACAGTCATTTGGTTCCTGTAGGACACAGGAGAGAGGTTCCTGCCAAAGGTTCTTGGGGTATCATTAGTGCTGACTGGCTGACATCGACTAAGTCCCATGTTCTGGGGAATACAGGGCTCTGATTGGTTAAGCCTTGGGCCACATAATCCCCCTGACAGAGAAGACTCTTGACTAGTACAGCTGGACAGGTGAAGGCTTGATGTACGCCTGCCTGGCCATCTGACCTCATGTCTTATAGACAGGAAAACTAAGACCTCACGGAAGGCTTGCAGTACAGGTTGTGTTTGCTCTCTTGATGCTGGTGGTTCACTCTAAACATGCCACACAAAGCCCCCCCCATGGGACCACACCATGCCTATGCATGTCCCTCAGGAAGGAGGGGGAGATGACAAAGGGGAGAGGGGACAAAGCAGCCCTGAAGAGGCTCTCTCCTCACAGGCCCTGGCTCCAGCCTCCATCAGCAAAGTGCTCCTCCTGGGAGAGAAGGCATCCATCCTTCAGCTACCTGTACTACCTGTCCAGGTGAGTAGAGGCCTGGGCAGCAGTATTGAGTAAGAGTCAAGCCCTGGGAAAAAAATGAGTTCTGCAGTCGATTGATGATGTCTGCCTTGAACACAGACTTGGAAGTAGCAGTATGCGTGCTGTGTATGTGCCATTCCATAATCAGGGTCTGGTTCAAATGATTGATCAAAGCTTCCAGAGAAGACTCACTGCTCAGAACACCACTCTGGACCTTCCCAGTGAGAGATGTGGTGCCTGGACAGAGATCTAAGACCAGACCTTCTTACATCATCTCTGGGGAGAGTCCTCTATGCCTCCTGACTCTCCTTTCATCTGCAGGTGGAGGTACTGACCTCGCTGAAGGCCCTCAGAAACCATGTGGACCCTAGCCAGCTGCCCGAGGCTCTGGAGGGCCCCTTCCCCTACCACCACAGCGAGTGGGTGCAGTTCTTCCAGGTGTCTACTCTCATAGCCTCCAGTCTCCAACCCTTACTTCTCCTCTTCCCTTCACTGCCTTGCCCCATGGGTCCCTCAACCCTGTCAAAAACAGGGTTCAAGAACAGACAGTCATTCAACAAACATTTACAATGAAGGTACAGAGTAGCCCCAGTAAGGCCCCAGGCTCTGGGGCCTGCCTTCTGGGTTCCAGTCCAGCTCTGCTCTGTGACTTTGGGTAAGTTACCCGCCTTCTTCTCTGAGCCTTGCTTTTCTCATCAGCAAAGTGGGGGATGGGGAGGGCAATGAAATTGCCTTCCTGTGGGAATTATTATGAGGATTGAGTTCGTGTTAGTAAAGACTTTGGCTGTTCTCAACTGAAAGTGAATCGACAGGCATCTGCTCTGTGGAGGCATGGGCGTGTCACACGTGGTGGGTTAGTGTGGACGTGTCACACGTGGTGGGTTAGCGTGGGCGTGTCACACGTGGTGGGTTAGCGTGGACGTGTCACACGTGGTGGGTTAGCGTGGGCGTGTCACACGTGGTGGGTTAGCGTGGACGTGTCACACGTGGTGGGTTAGTGTGTATTGCCTCCTGTAGGGCAGGGAAGGAAACTGTCCCAGCTCCACCCTGTCCTCCCACAACCCCACAAGTGGGTATTCGGTGCCCAGATTAACTCAGGAGGCCACAAGGGGTGGGGCAGCACATGGACTAGTCTATTTTGAAGGCACTGAACGCCCACCCAGGGCCCCTCCACCCAGCTGCCCAGTCAGGACCTCTCAGCCAGGGCCTGAGGGTTCCCTTTTCCACTGTGGTGTGACCGGCAGCCCTCTGCCTCCCCCCCCCACAGCTTCCAGCCAGGGTACTCCCCAATAAAAAGCAAACAAACAAGAGAACCAGGCAGTGGTGGCACAGGACTTTAATCCCAGCACTCGGGAGGCAGAGGCAGGCAAATCTCTGTGAGTTCGAGGTCAGCTTGGTCTACAGAATGAGTTCCAGGACAACCAGGGTTATACAGAGAAACCCTGTCTCAGAAAAACAAAATAATAATAATAATAATAATAATAATAATAATAATAATAATAATAAACAGGGGAGGGGGAAGAGAGAGAGGGGAGGGAAGGGAAGGAGGCAGGGAGGCGCTGCATGCCACTGGACTGCCTACAGACTTGCTTGTCTGGAAACAAGCAGTACAGCTTTGGAGGCAGTGTCCAGCCGGCATCAGTTGTCTGAGTCATTTTCAGCCAGTTTCTAGTCCCCAGCAGGTGCACTGGTTCTAAAGGACACTTAGCATAAAGGGTTGGGCATCCTGGTTGTGATGTCCTGCGGGGGCGGGGATCTTAGAATCACTCACCTGAAGATGTGGAGGGAGAGTATGTACACACATTTCAGTGACAAGTCCTGCTCCCAGGCTCCTGCTTCCTTCTCCAGAGGCCTCCCATTTACCCAGTGACCTTTGAACTTGGACTTTCAGACTGTCCCTTGAAGTGAAATTTTACTGGGTGATCCAGAGAGTAAACTTTGTGGTGATCGTGAGTCTGGCACATTCCAGGCTGCACGCTAAATCCTGTGCACAAATCAATCCAGCAAACCCTTACCCTGCTGTAAAACGTGTTCCGCCGTGGTTTCCACCTCTCAGAAGTAAAGGGAAGCCCAGAGACGTTAAGTAACTTACCTGTGGTCTCACAGCTAGCTGATGGCTGAGCTGGACCAAATGCGCTTCTCCAGGCCACCCTCTCACCCCCATCCTGCCCCTTCTATGAAGACCCCCAGGCTCTGCGAACAGCTCAGACGCTCTTCTCTCTCCTCTGCTCTGGTTCCCACTCTAGAAGCCCCCCCAACCCTGCAGCAGCAGCACCGTGGCTTGGAGACTTTGTAGATGTTCTTAGAGTCTGTCCCAGATACTGGCTCAGCTGTGGGGGTGGGGCGGGCTAGAGGTGGGAGAAAGGCGGGGGCACGGGGTCGGGGGGTCGTCCAGAGCCTCACTTTCACCAGCTCTCCTGATGGGTCTGATGTAGTGTAAGTTCTAGAAGCCCTGCCTGGTGCCTTCCCATGTCCTCCTGGGGAAAGACAAATCTCCTCTTGGTCACCCAGGCTGAGTTCTGCGCTCTGGTGCCTGTCCTTGCAGAAGCTGGACCCGTTTGTCACTGAGCTTCGCCAGGCCTCATCCCTGCTGCAGGCTTCCATTCAAGAGTTTGAGAAGGGTGACCCCCCTGGTGGGGTGCAGGTAAGCTTGTATGCCTCCAGCATACCTCTAAGTATCAAGAGCGCTGGGAAGGGGACACCCAGGGTGGTCATTCTGTTTTTCACTTTGTCACTCAGATAATAGATCTTGGGCATCCACCATGTGCCCTGCACTGGGGATCCAGCCCGAGGAACTGGCTTGCCTCTGCTCTGGTGAGGGTCATGGTGCAGTGGCAGAGTGGCCATTTGCAAGGTAGTTGTGAAGGACTGGGGATGTAGATCAGTGGTAGAACACTTGCCTGGGGTGCAAGAGACCCCGGGCTGTAGCATGAATCTTAAAGGGTCTTATTAATAAAAACAAACCCGGAGCTAGGTGGGTGAACGCTGAAAGATCAGAGAAACAGAACAGGCCACAGCTAACCTCACCTCGCCAATTCCTCAGCTGAAATCATTTCCTCAAACTGGAAGCCTCTGAGTCCTCATCTGAATGGATCTTAGCAGCTGAACTGCTGCTAAGAGCCAAAAGCTTAACAGACTCTGGTTTCTGGTCCTCACGCCTTATATACCTTTCTGTTTCCTGCCATCACTTCCTGGGATTAAAGGCGTGAGTCACCATGCCTGGCAGTTTCCAGTGTGGCTTTGAACTCACAGAGATCTGGATGGATCTCTGCCTCCAGAATGTTAGGATTAAAGGTGTGTGCGCCATTTTCTGGCCTCTATGTCTATCTAGTGGCTGTTCTGTTCTCTGACCCCAGATAAGTTTATTAAGGTGCACAATATATTGGGGGACACAATATCACCACACCAAGTTAAAAAAAGGGGGGTGGGGAGATAGTTACAAATTGTGTCAAATGCCAAAGAAGTGGTAAGAGTGAGGAAGGTGAGTGGTCTTTGAAGAGATGGTGTTTAACTGCGGCCTGAAAGAATATGTCATTGAGGGAAATGAGCTCCAGGCAGAGAGCGAGCATGTACAAAGGCCCTGAGACAGGGTATAGCTGGAGGTCTGTGGAGCAGAGGAAAGAAGAAGGAGCTGGCCCAGGAACGGGGCAGTGAAGGCCTGGGGAGTTTGAAGCAGGGCATCACAGAATATGCCCTTTGATGTCCTTTTTTTGCTACAGGGGATGCCAGAGGGCATCAGAGAGCTCAACCAAGAGTCTGAGATGGGTGGTCCCGAGAGAGGATGGAGCCAGGACCAGTGAGGTTACCATGGTGATAAGAGGGCCATAGCTTCAGAAATATGCTGGAAATTAAAGGGCAGAATTCCTGGAGATGCTTGGATACCCAAGTGGGAAAGTTAGGCTCTATCGGTGTGTGGAGCCTGGAAGGCTAAGGGGAGCATGAAGATTGGGACCTCAGGACACCCTCCTATGTTGGCAGGAGGCCACCAGGTGCCTGAGCAAGTCCAAGGATCTGATGGAGGCTGTGCTGAGGGACCCCGGCCTGCTGGCTCTTCAGAGGGAAGGTGGAGCTACTCTGGCCAGGCTGCAGCAGGAGGCCAGCAGGCTGAACACCAACCCTGAAGTCAGGTATAGACAATCTCCCGTCCTTCCTTCCCCATCAGAGCTTAGAGGTGGGGCCACCCTGTGAAGGGAACGCAGAGGGTGGGTCTGGGGACACAGCTGCCTCACACCCACCCTCTGAGCCTTGGGGATAACCTCGCCATCCCCGCCTTGCATCTCTGGCCATCTTCAGCCAGGAACAGGCCTTTGAGGACCAGCTCTCTTGTTTCCTCCCTCCACACACAGACTGTGTCCTTTTTCAACCCAGACTCTGGTCCAAGCCTTTCAAGACCCGTCTCCTTTGTTCCTGGCAAGAACTTGGTGCTGGCCACGCCACTCTTATTTAGCAAGAAGATGAGACTGAGTACTGGGAAATAGTAGTAAGGCCCATAGGGGCCCGGGCTGAGACAGTTAGGTAGCTAACCCTACAGGCCTGCCTTTCCCACGCTCAGCCTAGAGGAAGGACCTCAGGAGCCACGGGTGGGTGACAGACCTGACTGGTCGACACCAGCTTCCTTGACTGCTGGCATGTGAAACCTCCTCAGTCTGAAAATCGACGTCCTGCCTGCTGTAAACTCGGCACTCTGGGGAAATTATACCTGGAGAAACTTTGCCGCATCCACAGAACAACTGAAACCATTGTGCAGACTTGCTTTCAGGCTGTGTGTAAAGGTATACCTGACATGCAAATGGACTTCTTGTTTAGGCTGAAGTCCCATTGCCCACATGCCTCATTCTATATGTTCAAATACCCTAAAACTGGAAAAACTCAATCTGATATGCTTCTGGGCCCAAAGAAGGGATTGCCGACCATGTAATTGAATTGGTCAGTAATTAGAAATATTTGCTTTAGTAAGACATAGGTATGTATATTTGAGAGCCAAGTGCAAAGCTGATGCATATGCTTAATAAGAACAGCTTGTGCATTGAACCAACATTTGATGGGTCTGTGTGTGTGTGTGTGTGTGTGTGTGTGTGTGTGTGTGCATTGTTCTAAGGAATTGTACATATTAACTCATTTAATTTCCACTTTTGAGGTGGAGCCCAGGAGTCTCCTTTTGTTACAGTAGGGTAACCTGAGATTCAGAAAGGTGGACTGAGTATCCCTGAGTCACACATCTGGAATGTGGTGGGGGCCAGGACGTAGTAGATAAGGCTGGCAGAACACATCACCTTGAGATGCACAGCTAGACGCCGGGTGCATGTTCATGCAGGTGGAGCTGAAACAGCGGTGGGACCTGGTGTCTAATGTGGGCCACCTCCGCCCCTCACAATGCCCTGTTGTTGTTACCCACCCTGTCGTCCCCCCTCCCTCTCCTGCTCCCGCTTCACCTGCCTCACCCAACCCCTCCGGTCTACCTGAGGTCCCTCCAGACCTTTGAGCTGAAGCTCCACCAGGGGGCGCTGTGGGCCCACGCTCGCCGCGGCCCTTCCCTGTTCAAGGCCGTCCCTGCAGCCCTCTGGGCTCGCCCTTCCTTCAAGCATCTTGGGCTTTCTTCTGATGTGGGACCCGGGACCGGGGGGAGGGGGTGTCCCTCGAATAGTCAGCCTTTCCTTCCATCATCTTTGTCTGAAAACAGGCTCCCCAGGGCAGTTGTGGGGAGGCTCCAGGTTTCTCCCTTCAGGAAGCATCAGCGAGGGAAAAGTTCCCTCACAAACCTGCTTTAGATCCTCTGGCTTTGGCCACTTTAAAAATGCCTTGCAGGGCAGGTGGTCCCCAGGTTCAAGGTCATCCTTGGTCACATAGGAGTTTGAAGCCAGCCTGGGACACTGAGACTCTATCTGAGACAAAAGACTGTCATGGGTTACAGTTGCCACGCTCTCCTGTCCTTGTGTCCTGCAGAGTGGACGCTGGGAAGACAGGGTGGTGCAAACGTGTGGGCGCCAGCCAGCCCCTAGTTCCAGGCACTCCACCGAGTGTTTCTCATGAAGGAGGGAAGGTCCCCTGGCTTCCCAGAACCCCTAAGCAGCACTAGAAAGTTCCATAGCTGGGGCCTCATGCAGCGGTCTGGAGTGGAAGCCTCTGCTTCGATCACTTTCTGCTCACAGCCGCTCAGGGCAGTGAGTTCTGTTACTATTTCCCACTTTACAAATGGGCAGCCAGAGAACCCCGAAGTGGTGATGTTGCACCAGGACCCACACTAGCAGCTGGTGGGAGTGGGATTCAGACTCAAATCTACCCAGCTGGCTTGATACCCTGCCGATTTCCTGCTGCTTCCTCGGGTTCATGGCTGAGGCCCAGAGAGGGCTAGGGATCTGCTTCAGGTCACACAGCAGGTCAGTGGCTGGCAGCCCAGCTGGGGCCACAGATGAGGAGGGCAGGCCCAGGACTGGCGAGAACACAGGGAGGGGCGTCTTCTCACCCTCGTCTCCCTCCCAGGAGCCATCTGACTGAAGCCGCAGCCCTGTACAACCTTGTGGATGACCAGCTTCACGTCCTGGTCACTGCGTCCAATCACCTCCTCCGAAGGCTGGAGCTCCGTGTCCGACTGGGCCACCTGGAAGCTGCTGTCCACCAGGTGAAGGGCAGGCTACTGGGGGACATGGTGCTTTATGAGGGTCACTTAGTTCTGGACTAAACATCAGGCTGGCAGCCCTTGGTGTTGGGGTCAAGGCAGAAAACATGCCATGCAATCAGTGCTTCAAGGATTAAATTATGAACACGAGGGCTGCACTTATTGAGCACCGACTGTGTGCATCCCTGGACTAGACTATTGTGAATATTCTTGTCTTCCAGTGTGGTCTCTTGCCAGTGACATAGGAGCTTTTAGGATTCCCCACCACAGATAGGGAAACTGAGGCCAGGCAGATACTACCTCCTGTGGTTGCACATCTGGAGTCTGAGACTTGAGCTGTTAGCATGCCTTCACCTGGCTTCAGTACTTAAAGCCAGCACACCCCTGTCTGCCCCTGGGCTGGGTCATCCCTGCCGGGCACTTCGTCTTGACCCTCAGGTCGCCTAACTGCTCAAGCCTCTGCATCCTCATCTCTAGCCTTGAGTTTTACAAAGACAAAGTATCTTTGCCAGTATCCCCAGAGCAAGAATGCTTTATTTTCTTTCCCTGTTGCTGTGATAAGAAAAATGCTCTGATAAAAGCAACCTGAGGAAGTTTATCCTGGCTGTTTAAGAGCACAGTCCAGCTGGGCGGTGATGGCACACGCCTTTAATCCCAGCACTGGGGAGGCAGAGGCAGGCGGATCTCTGTGAGTTCGAGGCCAGCCTGGTCTACAGAGCAAGATCCAGGACAGGCACCAAAACTACACGGAGAAACCCTGTCTCAAAAAAA